CATAGGCTCCTGCCTGGCTTTCCTGTGCCTGCTTTCTTTCTGACCTTCCTTCCTGCTCTATGGGAGCATAATTTTGGGAAATGTGCTAGATCGCGGCCTGTGTGTAACTGCCAGCGCCTCTCAGCAGCATCCTCACCTGACCCTTCTCATCCTCTGCTCCCTCTCCCACTCATTTGTTGTCCAAAATCAATCTCAAAGCTCCTCAGAGCAGAACCTTTGCTTTCCAGCTGCCTTTAGCACCAGGCACAACAGCATCGGTCTCTGCTATCATTCAGCACTGGAGCTGTATAAATAAATAAGAGTAATTCTGAGTTACACAGTTGAAGTTCTCATCTAAAATAATTTAAAGAGTAGTCATGAGGGGTTGTGCTGGTTATAATTCATATAATAATTTAGGACTGCTAGTTTTTAGCTATTGTGTAATTTGGATTTGCTTGCAGTTCTCATTGGATAAAGTGTATTATTGAACAAGAAAGGAATAAACTATATTCAGAGTAGCTGTAGGGTGCTATGATTTAAAGGAGAGCTGGTGCCATACTACAACAGAAAATATGCAGGATCCATTATACTGTTAATGAATGCACAGCTCAGATTGGTGATTTAATTTTTAGGTCATATTTCTCTCATACCCTCAGGTATAGTAGACTTCATACATAAAACCAGAGTAAGTTGGTGTGTATTTAATCTCAGTCATGCAAAAAAAAATGAATAATAATAAAAAATTACTTTCCTGTATTGTTTATTCATTTGCAGTTATTTCTTTTAATGGCATAGCATTCAGAGAGCACTATTAGAAGGGCACAGCCATATTTTCTGGTACTAGTTTTGAACCAGAGATAGTAACCTTTGAGGCAGCTTGATATTTATCCGTAGCTACAGACTGTCACTGCATTTAAGCCATGACTACAGCGTCATTTTTTCATCTGGCCAGGAGCTTTCTTGAAATAGTCACCATTTCCTTCCTCAGGCAAGGTGGCAGATTGGTGATATTTTAAACTGTCTCTTGGCTGAGAGACAAATCCCAATTTCTTTATTTTTGCAAGCAGACGTAGCTGATGTAAGCAAGACCTATTCCTGCAGGGGCCACACCCCTGAATGGTTGTCAGAAGCAACATTCTGCAATGACTTCTAGTTTTACTAAATGTAGGATTTTTTTGGCTCCATTTTTTCATTGCCATGTTAATTGTAAGCTTTTTTTGATATGTGCACAGATATACAACTTTTTGAGATTCCACATTTTACAGTGGACTGCATTTTAAATCATATAGTCATAGCTGCAAACTGAATCTGAAAAATCTCTGGAAATGCACAAAGAAAAGAAGAAGCAATTAAAAGAAATTCTTCCTGACCATTCACGCTGTATACCTTCTATTTTAATTTTTTTTAAAATTTCTTACAACTGAAGTATCACCTCTTAAATGAATTTGAACGACTCACCCAAGACACATTCTAATCCAATCGTGTATGATGATGATACCAGTTGGATGTTATCCTATTAGGCACTCACTGTAAATAAGGGATTTTCCACTGACTTTTAAATCCTTGATTAATGAGAATGCTTGAAGCAGTGTCCTGTAAGTTAGCCATAGTGCTAGAAACAATGGCAATTCACTTAGGAGAACTGATTTGTTTTAAATCTTCCCATCCAAATTAAAAAGCATGAGGAAAAGATAATGTCAAGTCAGTAAAACACATTACTCTATCTTGCATTATTGATCTGCACCCCATGGCTGTCTGACACCCTCAGGTCTAAATTCTGCTCTCTCTTCAGGTAAATCCGCATCAGTCAGACCTCTTCTGGAGAAAGAACTCCAGAAAGTAACTGGCTCACAGTATTTAATTTATGCATTCTCTATATTCTCTAGTGTTTTAGATAACTCTGAATCCCATTTTGAATTCTGTAAGGCAGACCAATAGCTTTCATTTGTAGTTTGGTCACTGCTATCTCACCTGCCTTTCACAGCTCCTTTGCCCGTTTCCCTGAAAATGTGTAAGAGTAGCAGCAAAGGGCTATTTGGATTTGGGGAAAGGGGTCAATATGGGCAGGTTGTGACACGTCTTTTAATTGGTACTTAAACTTGAATTCTTCGTCAGATATTTTTCTGAAGAAAGACACTTTTAGCACCGTCTTATCACTTTGCTTCCTATTCAGCTACTGATACTTGATTATTGCTTACAAGAAAATGAGTTTTATGCCAAATATTGACTTTGAAACACACGTTACTTCCTTTAATATGCTGAAATATTAATGAGGTCTTTCTCGACATTCTATATTCGCATTTCTTTAAGGTATTATTCATTTCTGTACCCATAATATGCATGCATTTTTATTATTCAAGAACACTCCTTTCTTCTTGTAGATGTATGAATACTCTTTCTATAGATTGGAATTAGTGTCACTTTATGAAGACAGTTTTGACACTCTCTTATAAGTAGCTGAGCAAAGTATCTCTCAGACATGAAAGTACTTAAAGTGCGTTATTTTTTTTGGTGATTTTGAATTACCAGAATTTTGTATGTACCACAAATTGTGCAAATGAATAGATTTACCTAAAGTCTTACCACGCTGTCCTATATCAAGAGTAATCAGAGACACTGCAATAATCCCATAAATCTGTCTGATCATTTCTCCTTGGGTCACTCAAGTTACAAGGGTGACTCATCTGTGCATGGGCCAAAGCACCTCTAACCAAAATTCCAGTCAGACCAGTAGGTCTGAGATGGTATCTTGCTGTGACTGTTGAGTATGCATGTGATCCTCTCTGTTTAATGGTATTTGTGTAGAGCTCCTCAGTGATCCATTGATAAATATTCGGAATTCTGGCTACAGGTCATAAAAGTATTGTCTTGTCCATGTTACGGGCAAAAGGAAAAATTTGACACCAGGGCTTCACTTACCAAGTTGAAACTATTTCAGAGATGCATGATACTTTATGTACTTATTATTATGTTTTTATACTTAATGGTTGTGGAGTTTACAGTACAGAGATATTTTTGTATGGGCACACTTTGTTGGTTACTTGGTTATTTTTTTCTTTCTGTTTAAAAAGAAAAAGTAGTTTTCCACAAAGACACCAAGCTACTGGTTTTCAAGCTTAAATGGTTGTCATCTAGAGAAAGAAAATGGACACTGGAAATCCAAGAGGGTGTTTGCCACTGGCTTTTGTTACAACTTTGGTTTTCTACACGGTAGAAATGAAGGGCAACTAAAAAGCTTTTTTGGGGGTGTTTTTTAAATTTTGCAATTTTGGGAGTATTTCAGGTTTAAAGTTGTTTCCTCTAGCTACAAATTTTCTCAGCTTTAGGGAAAGATAATTTTTGTGATTATGGCATCCAAACATAGCTGCTGTCTGTAGCCTTTTTGATTACCTTCAGCAAGTTACTTCATTCCGTTATGCCTCAGTCTTTTACCTCTAAAATATATTATGATTATTATTATGGGCTTTTCTTTGTTATGCCTCACATATTAATGAATGTATTCCTGTATCACTTTCCTACTTCAGAGAAGTGCTGAAAGCTTATATTCATTAATATTCTTGAAGCATGACAAAGTAAAGCCTATTACTGTAATATGCTTCGCTTTAAAACTCTGCTTAGAATAATAATGATAAACAACATTGGTTAGCCTTTAGCCCTGCTGCACAGCTATAAAATTTTTACATCTTCAGATTTAAACTGATGAAGGAAAACTTTCATGCATTTTATGTCCCTCCTCTATACCCATGGAGAGATAAAGGAAGAAAGTTTTGCATTTACTGAAATGGGTTGTTGGCATATTTATCATTCAGGAATCCAAGAATGGCTTTTTGCCTGCTACATCCTTAGCCTCTTGTTTGAATATGATGTAGTATTTTATTCTCTCCATGTATTTCCTTTGGTGAGGTGAACAGAAGTTTGAAATGGATGGTTATGAAACACCTTGCCCATAGGAAAAGTGTCTTCCTAACCTCTTTAGTAATTTCTTGAAAAATGACCAGGTGCATGACAGTTTATATTTCCCTCCTATTATGTCCCTGAATTAGTGTAGATGTTCTTATTACATTTCTAAATGACTGTTCTCAGAGGTGGCTTGAAAACATATTCATTTTTTCATGTTGACTGATTGATTACATCAGTGTTTCAGTGAATATATCCTTGTTCTTGCACAAGAATAAGAAGTAGTAAGAAGCAGTAGATAGGAATTCCCCAGTTATTTTTTGAACTTTTGTGGTGTATTTTACCATACATCCCCTGATTTGTCTCCTTTGCCTTGATTTATATAATTGTCCAATGCATTTTGGCCCTGGGACCTAATCATAGTACTCACACAATATATCACTTATTTAAGAAAATAAGAGGTTTTCACTTATTTAAGAAAATACCAAAATAATTTCTAGCATATACGCATTTATTGTTGTTTTCTTTCCTTGACTTTCTTTTCATTAAATAGTTTTCAGCTCAGTGAGAGACATGTTTGCTTGTTTTCCTTTTTTTTCCTTTTTTTTCCTTTTTTTTTTTTTTTGACAAGAAGACACAGTAAGTAAGTGCAGTTAATGGAGAAAAGATCACTACATTTATAATAGTTTTAACAGCTGCACTGCAGGCAGTTCATTATTTTGACTTGTATTTTAATGCGCTCAGTGTTCTCAGTAATATCATAGTAGAGATATTGGAAATAAAGAGGGAAGACCAGCAGCCTCAATATACATATTCTGTCCTTCTACTTTCTGTCCTTATTGCAAAAAAAAAAAAAAAAAAAAAAAAAAATTAAAATGTGTAAGCACCCACACTGGATATCTAACACAATTCTAAATCCTGACAAGTGCAAATTGAAAAGCAATGTCCCATTAATACAGAGTTGGAGAGTGTCACTGCACCATTACACTTTAAGTCTGGAATGCTCTGGGCCTTGCATAAATTCAATTAAAAAAAAAAAAAAAAAAAGAAGACACGCTGGTGAGAAACTTGCAACATGTTCAGTCAATTCAAGTACATCTGTTTGACTCTTATTTCCTTTGCAGACTACAGATGACATCCTGGTGGCCTCGGCTGAATGTCCCAGCGATGATGAGGACATCGATCCCTGTGAGCCGAGCTCAGGTGGGTTAGGTTAGTCAACTTTTTTTATTACTTTCTTTTCTTTCATATTTGCATGCTCCAGTCCCCCAGAGCCCCAAGCAGCATGACAGTCCTTTTGTGCATCACAAGGAGAGGTTGAATTGGGCCCTTTCTACATGTGGTGGTAGCAGAGAGGAAGAGTCATCTCCAAGACATCAGATGGGAGCACATGTCATGGTCTGAGCAAAGTTATGGCTTGGCTGACGACCTGAGGGTGGACTAGGAAGGGCATTCTAGGGCCCCTGCAACTGTGTTGTGATAAAGAAAGCGCAGCTTCATTTAGCAGGAAGGTGTAGCTATTGTTTGTGCCTTAAGCATTGCCCTCAGTAAGATAAAAGTATCATGTTGAAAATGTCGTGTTATGTCATGGAATTGTAGAATGGCCTGGGTTGGAACGGACCTTAAAGATCATCTAGTTCCAATCTCCCTGATGTGGTTAGGGACACTTTTCACTAGACCAGGTTGCTAAAACTCCAGCCAACCTGGCCTTGGACACTTCCAGGAATGGGACTATCCACAGCTTCTTTTATTATTTTTTGTTAATTACTATGTACCATCTCTAAAAATCCCAAAGTTTATCATTGAAGTGAAAGGGCTGCAAAACTTCCTATCCTTTAAAATAATCCTAGATAGTCCAATGAATTATTCCTGCTTCTTTGTTGGTTTGGTTTAGGTTTTATATTTCCTGAGTGAACAGCTCATGGTACCATAAAGATATATCTCAGTTTTCCTTAGAATTTTCCCCAGAATTCCCTTGAATTCTGTGCTGTTTGGTAGCATGGCCACTGCTGGTTTTCTGAGGTAATTTGGTAATCTTTGGTGCTTGCTACTTCACTTAATAGTAAAAGAATTAAGATCTATTTGTTGTGCTGTAACATTAGCTCGAGTAGAAACCAATTTAATTTGAGATTAATATATTAATGCAAATAGCAGCTAAGAGCCATTTTAGTATCACGCCAAAATCTGGGGCAGGAGAAATGTCTACATAGCCCTAAGACAAATGAAATTTTTCTTCATATGCAAATGCATGATTCCTATTTTAAGTCACAGAACCTGATACCCACATGCAAGAATTATTTACTTAAACTGAAGTAAAGGCATATATGACTTGTCTCAGTGTCTGACAGACCTGCGGGATGGCACTTGAGCTCTTCTAGGAACCAATTTACAGACTTGATGATGATAATTCAGGATTATTTTCTGTCACTTTCCAATTAAAGGATTTCAGAGTAATTTTCAAAATTCCATTAAATTGAATGATTGTTCTTAAAACTGATTAGCAACAGGTGCACTCACACAATTTTGTATCTCTCAGGGAAATATTTCACTCGCAGAAGTCTCAAACATTATGATCAAGATAGTCAGGAATATTTTTTTCCTGCTCCTTCATTCTCATTTACAAATTCTTGAGTTTAGCAAGGCTGTCCTGTCCAGTATGAGTCAGTGCAGTAGCTCGTATGGCTCTGAGCTCATTCATGCCTGTTGTTTCCTTGCTGTACTTAACTCAGACAGTGCTGTTCAATAGATAAATTGACATTTGGGGGGATGTTTTTTTTATTTTATAAGGTATTTTTAAAGGAATATATTGGTTATGTAGCACTAAATAATTTTCCAAAGCACCTGGGAATGCAGCTTTGGTATTAAAGCTGTATTTGTATTTTCTCAGGCTTACAGCTCACTGAAAGCCAATGAAATTTCAGAATAATTCTTCTCTGAGGTAGTTTGAGCTCTGGGGCTGCAGTGTTTGGTAGTCCTGAGCTGTGCAGTCATTTAGCTGATGGGTGCAAGAATGGGAGAGGTAAAATGAAACTTTCTGACAGCTTATTTTTTCTGTCCAAACTATGGTTCAAGAAAGGGATGTGAATGTTAGTCTTTCAGCAAAAAATTGCCATTAGCTTCACATACTGGTGTTCAGCTTTCCTGTTTTAGCTTAGCATTCATCACACAGCTACGCTTCTCATTTTTGTTTATTTGAGCATGGTTTTACTGTTTCATTTGTCAGATTCCAACTGCTACTGCTTTAAAAAAAAAAAAAACAACAACTGTGGATTGGCACAGGAATTATGTTCTGCATAATCCCAATTGTCTGGATCATTTTATCTGTCATTCTTCTCATCAAAATGTCATTCGTCCTCCCACTCTCAACTTTTAAAAGCTGTTAATTTGCCTTCATCAGCCTTGTCATTTTGTCATACTTGAAAATACCTGAACCAAAGGGGTTACTGAAGTTGTAACTTCTGGCATATCAGTCTCTCTGTTTTAGTCTTAGTCACTTAGTGTTATGAATAACCTTTTTCCATGAATAGTCAGGTAGGCATTGCTCAATCTCCATAATACTGCAGTCTCCACATGGATTTGGGCTGCTCCTAGCAGTAGGCTAGAATTCAAGGAGAGAAGCACAGTGCTGTTGGCAGTGAGAGTCTGATGATTGTTTTTCTTTTCAGTTGGAATAGGAGATCAGAACGATATGTCCCTCCATCTAAAATATCCCCATGGTTCAGTTCAGCTTTTTCCCCCTTAACCCTTTTCACAAACCAGACTGGCCTCTCCACAGCTACTCCTCAACATCTTCACTAATGGTGGTGAAACTTATCTATCCTAACAAGTAATTCTAGGAGCTGAAAATACAATGGTTAGGGCTGTTTTACTTTTGTGTTTTCACTTCAGAGGCTGTAGTCTGGGATCCTTCAGCAAATCCACCTCATGGCAAGAGATAATGCTCTCAGAGCTGTGTGGTCAACACTTTTCTACCAAGAATTCAATCAAGGGATGGCCAAAGACTCTGCAGTTTTATAAACAGAGCCATAACTCAATATTTCTGTGATGACTGGCCATAATACGCCTATTTCTAACCAATGTTCTCAGCTCCAAATGAGAGCCTATTCAACAAACAGTTTGAGTATGGTATGCCTATATCTCATAGAAAATACTGCTTATCCAGATTTTACTAATTAGTGAGATTTATGCATAAAATAGGGCTTTTTTCCTAGTATAAATATGTTGCACTTTGTAGTGGCTAACAAGTCCCACTCTGCCTCCACCAGCTTTGCTTTCTGTGCACCTGTCTGCTAAATATTAAATGGAAAGATGCAATTTGCCGCAAATTTCATATAGGACATAAAAATGTAAACCCGATTAGGAGCTGCTGAGCAGCAATCCCATCATCTTGTCTGGAACATAAAGTCACAAAAATTATAATTGCAGATTTCATTGTGGTATACAAACTGCTAAATGTGCCATAATTGGATGAAGTCATAACAAATTTATTAGCATGCAAAACTTAGTCAACATATTTTTTTTGCATTATGTTTTGTGTAGTAAGGCAACAAGTATTGCTTTCACAGTCTCTCCACCTTCCCTTAAATACCAGTAACAACATGAAGATTGAGGATGCTGATAATAATAATAATAAAAAATTGTTTATATGTCCTCAACTTCATTTTATGGAGGAAATAATAAAACCTTTTCATTTTTGTAGACAAGTTACAAAAAATTTTAGTGGTAACCTATTCAAAAAAAAAAAAAAAAAAGCAAAAAACCCAAACCTGGGACAATTTATTCATTTCACACGAGGAGTTAAAAAACTGCAGGTGGACAAATTGCCATTCTTCACATCAGGACTGCTGTTCCAGCCATAGCTGAGCCCTGTAGAGAGCTCTGATTTCTGCTGAGTTTCAGTGAGAATTTGTGCTACACAGCTTATTTGTTCCAGTTACTCTGGGCTGGTATTTTATTTGTTAGCTATTATCTAACCACTTCTGTAGCTATTGAAATGTTCCAAAAGGCAGAGAGGTCTGAAGCAGGTCAAATGAAGTGAAATGACTGAGTTTAATGGCAGGGAACTCTCAACCAGGAAAAAAGTCTTACTGTTTTAGATAAACATACAAACAGTTCTTTTTCTGCAAATGAATTTTAAATCTTTCTCAAATTTGTGACACAACAGAGGTTTAAGCTCAGAATTAGGTTGAAAACTCCTGACGGCCCCAGCTGAAATGGGATAAGTAGAAGTTTTGGTGGTCTTAAAGCCAGCATATTCACTGGTCTTGGAAATTTTAGCAGAAGATAACCTCCAAAGTGAAGGAGGGCTTTTTTTTCAGGTTCAAACATGTCTTTCAACCAGTGGAATTCCACATGTTGCAACCAAAGAAAATGCTCCTTCATCTCTTGATTTGGCAGTTTTAGGCTTCAACTTCCCAGGGCAATGTTTGATTGGAGGCAGATCTTGTCCTTTACCATTCTGTGGGTAAAAAGAATAATCAGGACAGAGTTCAGTGAGGTATAACAGCTGGTAGCACTGGTTAGCTTTCTTAGCCCTAATTCTTAATCCAAAGGGATAAATGAAATAATTTATTTTCATATATTATTAAGAAAGAATGGTTACTAGGATAGATGCTTCTGGGCTGATCTTTGAGCATGTTTTTAATTTTTCCTACATGTTGGCCAGATTAATTGCATTGCAGAAAACAACTGGTGACAACCAGAAATCTCCAAAGCACTAGTTTAGCCTAGAGAGTGAACATGCTGAAGATGATTATTAAAGAGCAGTCACTGCTTTGGGGAAGGCTTAGTCCTGTGAGCAGAATAGTGTGAGGCTTTACATGCAAACTTCTTCCTACACATGCATGTCCTCTTCTCTGTGACAGCATGTTGGATAGATGAGATGGCTCAGAACCCTATATTCTCAGCCACCTTGTGATGGTTTAGGTTTGGTCCCTGCATTGATACCTGTTTTTCCAACAGGCAGAGCTCTGAAATACAGATTGTGAGTGTTTTATGCTCATTACTAGAAGTTTTGCTTTCTTTTCCTGTCATGAATTACTTCACTGTATTCCTGGTGCATCTGGCAGCAAGATAACATTGCAGTAGGAGGTGAAGTGACTCCTATAATTTACACATCACTGCAAGTGCCCTATTTAATGCTCTTCATGGAATTCATTGTGCAAGAAGCTGAAACAAAGAAAAATAAAATTACAGTTAGTTCA